ACTCCTCAAAGTTATTAAGACATCACCCATTCATGCAGTGACAGTGTCAAGCTGTGGTAGATCTGGTGAACACAGAATAAAATAAGGAATAAAAGTGCATTGTTGAATAAAACACTGTTGTGTTTATCATTATCATTTTCACCACTGTTCTGCCTATCATTATCATTTTACCACTGCTGTTTTTATCATCATGACTTGCTCCACTGTTACATTTATCATTATGATTTTCAACACTGTTGTGTAGTTATCATTTTCATATTCACCAGTTTTGTTTTTCACCACCGTTCTGTTTATCATTATCATTTTCAAAACTGTTATTTTTATCACTGTGATTTCCAACACTGTTCTGTTTATTGTTATCATTTTCATCTTTGTTGGGTTTATCATCATTTTCACTACTGTTGCGTTTATCATTATCATTTTCACCACCATTATGTTTATCTATTTTTACAATTGTTATGTTTATCATTTTCAACCACTGTTTTGTTTATCATTATCATTTGACATTTTTGTTCATCAATTGCACCACTGGAATGTTTATTCATTTTCACCACTGTTTTGTTTATTATTTACATTTTCACCACAGTTCTGTTTATCATTATCATTTTCAACACTGCTGTGTTTATCAGTATCATTTTCACCGCTGTTCTGTTTGTCATTATGATTTTCACCACTGTTCTGTTTATCATTATGTTTCTCAACACTTATGTTTATACTTATCATTTTAACCACTGTTCTGTTTATTGTTACCAATTTCACTTTTGTTGTGTTTATCCTCATCATTTTCACATCATTTTCAAACACTGTTGTGTTTATTTATTTTCAACACTGTTATGTTTATCATTATCATTTTCACCACTGTTATGTTTATCATTATCATTTTTACCACTGTTGTTTTTATCACTATGTTTTTCACTACTGTTGGGCTGATCATTATGATTTTCAACATGGTTATATCAATCATTATGATTTTTACCATCGTTCGTTGATCAATATCATTTAAATGTATCTGATTTCAACCATCCCAGACTTCTGATTTGTGCATCAGACAAGCCCGAATTTGCTGCCCCTGATGCAGCTCCTACACGGAAACTATGACCCTTATAATATTGGGGCTTAAGCCACAAAAATATAGCCCTGCATTGAATTTAAGCCTAAAGTAATTACGTTTTATAGGCTGTTGATCAGGCATACAGAACAGCGGGCCAGGTTTTTGCCCCCTAAAGACAACAAAATTGGAGATCGCTGCAATTGAACAGTAGGGGACACGCTGATAACCAATAATAACGACCTGAGTATTTGGTGAAAGTTACTTTCAATGAGCTAGCTACAGAGTACATTGGGTGCAAAATGGCGATGTTGTGTAATTGCAAGGTATTTGAAACATTAGCTTTAGTGGTAAAAGTTACCTCCCCAATGCACGTACATGAGTGCTTTAAATAATAGATGGTTATAGCCTGATCCGATGATGTATGGCAAAAAGGCAACAAGGGCAAGCAAATGGAGCATGATATTGGTAATCTATAGCCACGTTTATTTATGCATTGTTGTTAATAATGTTTTGTCAACAAAATAATCTGTCGGATTCCTATACCCCTGTAACTTATTTAAGTAACTAATTGCTGACGCAGTTGTGGTGATTGTATTTGCCGAGAACCCGTGCAAGTGCATGTCTGTTAAAAACATGGCTATCAAAGACTCACTGACTGGCAAAAATAAAATTCTTGCGTAATGCTTGAGGTGGAAACTTTGTATCGCTTGCCAAGCTTGTTTATAGCAACTTCGTGTTGATAGGGACAATGCCGATGTCAGTAATTCTGTCATATACCACTGAACTTCTCCCATGTATCTTTTGGAATAGGGGTTGGCCACTGATCTGCCCATGGTGCCAGCTGTTGAAATTTATTGACCTGAAGTCGAGTAAGAGAATCTGCCAATTTATTATAATTTCCGGGGATCTGTTTTGCCTTAAACCTGATGTTGCATCTGAGACAAACTAATACCATTCTTCCAACAAGACTCATAATGCCCGTATTTTAACATAATTGCTTGTTTATTATATGCACCACTGCAGGATTGTCTGACCTAAACAAAATTGCCTGGTTAGACATGAGCTCACCCCAGACCTCAATTGCCAGTACAATGGGAAAGAGTTCCAAAAATATTCTGTTGTGTATACAATTATCTGGTCAACTTCCATAAAACCAATGCGAGCCAAATAGTACCCCAAAATCAGTAGATACCGCTGCATCGGTGATCAGCTGGGATGCCAGGTATTCAGATAACTGACTCATGATGAAGAAAGCTTTTAAATTGAAGTGCAGCAGGAAATCGTGCCGAAGAAGTAGTTCTAATTTAGTACAGTGATTGATACGACGATGATGATGAGACTGAGTTAAACCCAAAGTCAAATCAATCAGGCGCCTTAAAAGGGCTCTGCCCAGGGTGACAACCGTACAAGCAAAATTAAGCGTCCCAACCAGGGACTGGATTTCTTTGAGGGTTGCCTTTTTGCATCCAAGAAACTGCTGAACTTGAAATATGCAACGTTGCATTTTTTTCAAGTTGGAGACGAGCTTGCATCAAAACAGTGTTTAATTCAATACCCGCAAAGCACAAAACAGTAGCAGATTCCTCTGTTTTCTCCTTGACTAATGTGACTCCCAATTCATTACCTAGACTAAAAAAATCATCAAGATCCTTTTTACAGTAATAAAAGTCCCTGTCAACGAACAAAAAATCATCCAAAATATGTAGAACTGCTCTTGCATGCTTTGACTGTCCAGTCATCCATTTCAAAGCACTGCTAAAAGCTTCAAAAATTCAGCAGAATGCTACACACCCCATTGGTAAACATTATCATAATATAAAAGTTCTTGCCACTCAAACCCCAGCAAATTATAATAAAATGGTGCCTCTGGGATAATCCTGAATTTTGAGCAAATATCTGTTTTGGCCAAGTAGCAGCCCTGGCCAAATTGTATGATTGCCTGAACCGCATCATCACTCATGATTACTTAACTGCAGTTAGTTCGGTGGAATGCCATCATTAATGGAGTTAACCTGTGGTCAAGGCAAATGATGGATCAGTCTGAATTCACCTGGTACCTTCTTTGGAACAACACCCAATGGTGAACAATGACAAATGTTAAAGGGTTTTTTTCGGAAATGGCCCAGCAATCCTGCCTGCAGCTAATTCTTTCTGCAATTCGTTGTCAACAACCCCTGGTTGCTCAACAGCTGATCTAAAATTAGGTGAATCAGACGTTATGTTATCGCCAAAAAATCCAATAGAAAAACCACAACTAAAACCATCAATAAGGTACTGAGCCATAATAGGATCATACCCAGATAACCTTAGTTGTAACTGCTCAATGTTTATTGGGGTGGGCAATCGATCTATAGGGTAAACTGGGGTTGATTGAGCTATATCAAACGCTAGACCCTGTTTGCAAATCCTGTTTTATGGTTTTGCAATTCAAACCTGGGTGGGATCCAGAGTACCAGCAACATTTGTGAGGGTAGTTGCACCCGGAACATGGCTCTCCTCTCTGATACTTGTAACATTCTCCTTTTGGGAGGAAGCCCTTGGAACGAAAGGACTGAGAACTGTTTTGGAAAGACTGACGAGGAGATTGTTTTGCTCTCAAATACAACTCAATGTGCAAGTGACCCTGAGGTAAGGCTGCCTGTTGGCGTAATTTGCGAAAATTTGTTTCATAGTACTTCCAGTCCCCTCTTCCAGCTGCTATTTTCATGACAGTATGCATGTATTTCATAAGATCAGGTGTATCTGAATTAAATTTAGCTGAATAAATTGCTATGAATATTTGAGAAGCAGATGACAATTTTGCAATTGAGTCAATGGGTATCTGTTTTTCAGTAGGAATCAGGCGAAAAGATGGGCTGTCGCTCTGAGAAGGGTTCATAACTGATAATGTATACTGTTCCTTTTTATATTTTGACAACAAACTACCCATATCAACAAACTCATTACACCAAATTTTGTTTTTAACTTTGTTTAGCACAGTAGCACGTAATGGAACAGTTACACTTGTAAAATGACTAACCTCCCACCTGATCCTGTACAGAATATTGTGGACAGGAACCTGTTATTTCGTTAACCGAATCCAGAACAGCATTCGCAACCACTGTTGTAGTAGCTGAGATGCTCATACAAGTTGTTGGAGTTGCAATGACCCCAGGTGTGATGTTGGCTTGACTTGCTTGCATCGAGTTTGCTAGGTTGGTAAACGTCTCAATGCCCTTGAGTAATGCTGAAGTAGACTGTTGTTGAAGTGCTGCTGTTTCTGCAAATGCTTGTGATGTGCTTGGTTGATTCACTGGTACACTAGGAGAAGGCTGTGCTGGTGCATCCTGTGTTGATACTGGTGTTGCACCAACATCAGATATGGCTGTTGTTTCCATTGGTGTGTTCTCTCCTGGCTGCCATGGTTAGTTTCGATGATGGTGACACAACTTCTTTCAGTGCATTACACTTTCGCGCAGGTGCCATGATCTATGATAAAGAGACTAAGCAGCAGCATTACTGTTGCAAAACATGGATATGGATCTGTGCAGAGATGCACAGAAACAAATAATACTATTTAGTGAAAAATAATTTTAAAGAAGGCAGAAACTTCCTAGAGCAAGATGGTGACAACTGACTGCTTGTAACTGGGTTAGGATCAAGCAAAACATTTTAATATTAAAGCAGAAACTACACGCTCTTGTAATAGAGATAGGATCAACAGTCTGCACAATTTAAAATAAAAAAAAGAAACTCCACACTCATGTAATCGAGATAGGATCAACAATCTGCAAAATTTTAAATAAAAAAAAAGAAACTCCACACTCATGAAATCGAGGTAGGATCAAAAGTCTGCAAAATTTAAAACAAAAGCAGAAACTACACACTCATGTAATAAAGATAGGATCAACAGTCTGCAAAATTAAAATTAACTAACTGAGCAGTATTTATAATCTGACCACTGTTATCTCGCTATACAAACTACAACAGACTGTCAATCGCACAAGTCAAACAGCCAACTACCGTACAGCTCAGTACACGATCATGAA